AAGCAACCCCCATGTACGCAAGTAGTTTAGCTCTTTTCCCTCTCGCTCTCTCTCTTTTTTTCGGCGTTTCAAAAGATAAAGCCTACTGGGCGCCTCAAAGTACCGAAAGGAGTCGACGCGCGTAGGGAGAAGGCTCCCGAGGTTGCGGGCGCACTTGCGAATGAGACCCGAATGCCTCGACAGACAACGGTGCCGTAAGCCAACCAAAACCTCGAACATTGGATCTTTCCCTTGAGAAAGACGCGAAGCAGACGCTAAAGCTGTTTCTGTAAAAAGAAGTGGATTTTTCCGCTGTCGCGCCAAGAACATACGAATATCTGTCAAGTGCTAATCGTGGGGAGTTTCCCGCTAAGGGCACACCGCAGCTCGAACCGAACCGATGCAACATCATCCAGAGGCGGTTGCTCATTCGAATCAACCATGGTTTTGTTATGCCTTGTTTCCGTTTCAGTTTCCTTAACTGCGATAGACGGGGGACAGCCCCCCCTGCAGTTCAGCTCTTCACAGTTTATGTGTCCTCTTAAAATAACGGGCGGTGGAGATATAGCTACACTCCCGGTGTGCTTTCATGATGGTGGAGCATGTCGCCAAAACGGTAAGGTAGGACGACGGAGCTGCAGGTAGCTGGAATCGGACTGTTCCGCGATCCATGAATGGTGAGAGAAGGCAGAATCGGCTAGTCCTCTGACAAGGGTAGTTTTGCGCGCTTTCTTCCTGCCTCTCCCTTTCTTGGATTGACTATGAGGTCTACTTGTTGTATAGTACGAAGTAGCATTGCTCGCATCAGATGATTCTCGGTGTGAATGCGAGTGATCGGTAGTGTGCTCTTTACGAAGCACTAAAAGACAGTAGAACGAGACGAGAAATGATAGCTGCGGAGAGAAGAGCCACTTTGAAGCATGTAAACTCGCGTTACCCGCGTTTCTATCCTTGGCAAGTACATGTTACGTACAAAGTACTGACAGGCATCACCAATCGGGCTTCTTCTTCAGATGGACACAGCCTGCTGTCGACGAACGACGAAACGCCAAAGACTGCGTTGATCTCACCCGCCGCACCTGTTCCATGCCCGTCGTGGCCAGCCCAGTGGGCCGCATGCAGCAAGATATCCCACACATAGATCTGGCTATCTGGATCATACATTTGCCTTTCATGATTGGTCTGGAAGCAGGATGCCTGTTGGAACATCTGTCCGAAGAGGTGCTAAAGTCCGCCCCAGAAGCCAAGCTACGGCTGGCGGTAACTTGCGGGCATTTCTACTTCGCACTTCGCAGGCCCGGCTGTAGCGGGCTTCGCAAACTTATCTCTATTAGCATTGACATTGACATCGACATACAGACCACGCTAAGCGTGGGAATCTTTGCCCCTCGCGGTATGGCGTCGAACACCCTGTAGTGTGCGTGACCGAAGATGGTGGCTTGAGACAAACTGAGGACCGGTTTAACTGGCGGTGACAGGGGACGCTAATTTCAGGGTTTGGACAACAGGAGAAACATCTCCTGTGCAGTACTTCGTATGAACGATCAAGTCGAAGCTTACCTATGCTTTCGGTTTGACATTCATGATGTGTGGCTAACCGGATAGGGCGAGCACGGATCAGATGGCATCTCAGACAAGCAAGTCAGACAAAAACATCATGTTAAGGACAAGGCTGTGTGGACAGGTTCAGAGAAAAATCGGGGGGCGGAATACGAATCCTCACCTATCGTACATGTAATAAGACACACAGAAGACCTCTTTGAAATGGAGTTTCGACCTCGAAGTCGACGAATAAGAGCATCCCTTGGATCGTTCCCCCCCTCTACCTTGTCTAATCTGAACTTCTGGTCATTTACGAAGGATGTACACCAAAGGCGATGTGAGGCTGTTTTCGACACTTTCACAGGGTGTTTTTGGGGATATTCGGTCAATTCTCAGCATCAACGTGGAAACTAACTTGGGACCGTTATTCTTTTGTTTAGGGGGCTGGTCCCTGTAGTTCGTAGGGTGAGGCAGCCGAGCCTGTCCTTCTTTCGTCTATCCCTTAAGCTGCAAGTCATTCAGCTGCCATGTACTCCTCAGACCCCCTCTTCCGCCCCCCCGTGGCCCTCGGACCGACCACCCAACATGCCAGGCTCGGGTTCAAGTCCACAGCCTGGGATCAGTTTAAGCTCCGGGAATGACTCAAGGCTTGGAAATCATTTTAGAATTTTGACCGATGAAGAGGGGTGCGGGACGCAAAAAGGCGTTCAAAAGATGGAGGGTTGCTCCTTCGGAGGAGTCCCACTTGCTTCGACGCGAATTGGGGGTACCGCAGACGAATGCATGTAAGGAGGAGGGAGAATCAATATGCCAGTAGAAGCTCATGCCGCTTGCACTTGCAGGAGAGGTGCTGTTGACTGGCAGATGAGAAGGAGGGGTGGCAAGGGAAGGGAAAAGGGAGGGAGGGGGTCGGGGGGTGCTTGGCGCTGCTGAAGGGCGGAAACCTGGCTATAATTGGCTGTTTCTCATTCCCAAAATTTCGAAGACACGAACCCAGCATGCCAGATCCTTCGACCCTCCCGAGTCGGGGGGAGCCCATGATCCCTGTTTCCTTCAAGTTTTGTTCTCGGTTCTTGGCGAACACCCACACCACCCCGAGAGGGAGGCTGGCTGGCTGCTGCACTGCACCAGATATCCCGACAGGATGGGGGACGGGGACTTAGGACCCACTCTTGGAGACGTCTCGCTCGTCAATTTGATATTGGAGGTTGCGATGAGGCTCTAAAGCCGCAAGAAGTTGTCGATTCGTTGATGGCGGCTCTTGGTTCATGGATTACCTCTTTCTTGGGAGCTGTTGTGCGATCTTGTCAAGCGATCTCGTTGAGCATGAAGGTTTTCCTTTGGACCTAGCATCGCGATGTCTATGGGCACTCGTCTAAGATATTGGTCGTAACGAAATTAAGTATATCCCTTATCCTCATCAGTGTGTGCTAAGTTTCTGAACTCCGAGCCCGACTTAGCAGGGATGGTGTCCAAATGAGAGCATGCCCTAGGCTGCGAAGTACCAGGTGCATTCCATCCTCCAGACTATCATCGCCGATATAACTGCTTTCCTCAAAGGCTCATCCCGCAGGCGAGGCCGGTTTTTTATCAGGCTCGTTATCATCCCCTGTGCTTGCTATGAATACGTAGACGCAACAGCCGTGTGTTGGGCCGTGCTGGCGCATCTACTTCGTAGTGTCAAGAGAGTGTTGGTCGCCGACACTTATTCGGGCCGGCGACTCCCCGACGCCGATTATACTTGTCAACATCGCTTGCCCCGAGGCACGACTCCTTCACGGAGGCTCACAAACACTTAATCGAGGCGGTCCGGGCAGGAGGAAGAAGCGCCCCCCGGGGGATCCAGGATCGCACGGATAGCACATCACCGGAACTTGGCAGGTCGTCCTCTCGTCGATCTCCGAGCCGTCACCCTCGCGAAGACGCGACACCACAGCAAAGGCACAAACATTGTGAGACGCCGTGTGCCCAAATGCTGTTTTAAGGCGCTCCCAGGACTGCTGCATCGTCTGCATCCCTGCATGCCAGCCTTCCTAAACGGTTAAGAGAAGCGGGATGAAGCAATCTGGAAAAAGTCGTCGGCTGAATTGCACCGTAGATCATATGATTCAGGCCGACAAGCATTAACATATCAATAAGCTCTTTCTACTTCACCATCCTTCATTGACCAAGCAAATCGGTTACGAGCCCACTGTTGCTCAGTGGGGGTTTTTGTCATGACGGTTAAACTCCTCGGGCGACCGTTTTGCTGTGGAAGGAGGGAAGATTGACAGCCGGGGAACACGGCGTCGGGTTGGACAGACGGACTCGCAGTTGACGGGTGGATTCGGGCACGGCTCGGTCGAGCTGGAGGCTAATAAAATCCATGACATCGGATTTCCTGCTGCATATGCATCGACATCTGACTGGTTGAGACGATCGTAAAATCGTTCAAAGGTATCTTATCAAGCGTATTTAGTTCTCCGAATCCGCGTTAGGTTTCATGGGCTTTGCGAGGGGCTTTAATAGTTGCGCAGTACTAATATAGACAACCATATGAAGGGGGAAGAAAGAAAAAAAAAACATCGTGCCAAAGTCCAACGTCAGTTTCGAACCAACAACTTCTCCAAGTTTCTGCCCACCTCAACGGAGGCCCGGATATCCCTCGAGTTATCACAACTTCAACGGAGAGCCATAACAAGAGATTCGCTTGCAGAATATGGGGGGGAGATGTCTATAGTAATATAGATAATCTAGCAAAAAAGAGAATTCCCACTTCTCCCTCCCCAATTCCCATTTCCTCCACGTCTCACGGTTTGACCAGACCGAGTTCCACGCCGGCGCCTTGCGAAAGTAGTTTGTTAGCAGTGCGTCACCGCTCGACCACTTGAGCTTCCATGAGACGTTGAGAATCCAGATCCAAATTTTCATATATATATATATATATATAACACGTACATACACAGCCAACAACCGCCCACTTTCGCGAGGAAGGCGCGTTCACTACTTCACTGCTTTCCATGCTGCGTCTACACGTGACCTTATTACAGTGCGAATGTTACAATGTGGTATGAATTGCCCACATCAAAGACATCACACTTAATCTACATAACTCGACGTCTCGAGTTAGTAAGTTGTAACCCTATTAATGTTCGCATGGAGAGGGCGCCTTAATATCTTTTTTTTGCCCCCTTGACTTTCGGAATGCGACATGCTTTTGTGTGGACTCTGGCTCGCTAATTCTTAGAGCCTGGATGTGCCCTTTCACTGTGCTGGAGAGACGCAATTTATCCCATGCCAGCGGCTGATAGAGCCTGATATTGATAAGCAAGCGCAAGGACGACTCCAATTCGTCCTACAAACGCAGGTCCTCCACTACAAATTCTTCTCGCCATCGACACGGCGCATTTCACATCTCTCAAAAGCTCCACGAGGGACCCGTTCGAGAAAACCAGAACCCCAGAAACAAAAGGACCTTTTACCTAGCACAAACATCAAACATGACAAGTTTAAAACGGTCCCTCGAGGCGGACCCTTTTGCCAGCAATATCTCGAGCAGGAGCTTTGTCCGCTCGACGAAGAGGGGCAAGGTTCAGAAGATCGTGCGCGAGGTTTATCTTCGCCAAGATATCCCCTGCTCCTCAAAACTGTGTAAAAAATGCCGTCAGTCAGCACCCAGGAACGCTGCAGGAAAGGGTAAGGATCTCAGAGTCTTCCCCCGATTGAAAAGAAAACCAGGCATTGCGATCACTAACCGGAACCCGTGTAGTCATGCCCTTCGTTCTCTCTGAGAAACCGGCAGGGACCAAGGCCTTTCCACAAGGGCATTATGTCGTCCCTGACACGAATGCTCTTCTAAATGCCATGGATGTCTTTGAGCAGAGCTCTGTATTCTACGATGTCATTATTCTTCAGACTGTCCTAGAAGAGTTGCGGAACAGATCCCTCCCGCTCTACAACCGTCTGATCAACTTGACGAAAAGCGACGAGAAGAGGTTTTATGTTTTCTTCAACGAGTTTCGCTTGGAGACCTACGTCAAACGCGAGGAGAACGAGACCATTAACGATAGGAATGACCGTGCCATTCGGCGGGCTGTGCAGTGGTATACCGAGCACCTTGCTAAGACCAAGGCTCCCAAGATTCCCGCTGTTGTCATGCTCACGGACGATCGGAACAACATCAAGAAGGCAAAGGAAATCGGCGTCCCCGCCCAGACCCTCGCCGACTACCTCGGCGGCGTCGAAGATGGTGAACGGCTGCTAGACATGGTGGCCGAGTCCCAGAGTCGGGAGCTGATCCACAAACCTTCGGAGTTCATTTATGCCGAGCATTACACATTGTCCAAGATGATGACTGGTATCAAAGCCGGTCTTCTACACCAAGGCATTTTCAATGTTTCGCCGTACAATTACCTAGAAGGCTCGATCAAGGTGCCGGCTTTCACGAAGCCGCTTCTAATCCTAGGCCGAGAGAACATCAACCGCTCCGTTGACGGAGACGTTGTCGTTGTGGAAGTTCTCCCCAAGGACCAATGGAAGGAACCGTCGACGGTCATCATTGAAGAGGAGGCGGTGACCAAGAATGAAAACGCAGACGGAGAAGAGGCCCAAGACTTTGTCTCCGAAAAGGAGCGAAAGCTCCTTCAGGAGGAAGTCAAGAAAACCCACAGCAGGAGCACAGAGGGTAGGGCGCAGCCCACGGCCAAGGTGGTCGGCATTCTGAAGCGCAACTGGCGCCAGTATGTTGGACATATCGATCCGTCCTCGGTTAGTCGTAGCGGTGGCCAGGGCCGCAAGATGGATAACGTCTTCCTGATTCCCATGGACAAGCGAATTCCCAAGATCCGCCTCAGGACGAGGCAGGTAGCGGAGCTTCTTGGGAAGCGGCTTCTTGTGGCTATTGATGTCTGGGGACGGGATACGCGGCATCCTACCGGCCACCTCGTTCGCTCCCTCGGCGAGCTGGAGACCAAGGCTGCCGAAACAGAGGCACTGCTGCTAGAGTGGGATGTCCAATATCGGCCCTTCCCGAGGACCGTCTTGGATTGTCTTCCCAAGGAGGGCCATGACTGGAAAGTACCCGTTAACACGGAAGATCCGGGCTGGAAGGATCGCGCTGATTTGAGACATCTTCTCATCTGCAGTATTGATCCTGTTGGATGTCAGGATATCGATGATGCACTTCACGCAAGACTCTTGGAGAACGGAAACTACGAGGTCGGCGTCCACATTGCAGATGTGTCTCACTTCGTAAAGCCCGCCAACGCAATGGATGCGGAGGCCAGTATTCGGGGCACCACGGTCTACCTAGTGGACAAGCGTATCGACATGCTTCCCATGCTTTTGGGTACTGACCTGTGCTCCTTGAAACCCTACGTCGAAAGGTTCGCCTTCTCGGTGCTCTGGGAATTGGATCAGAACGCTGATATTGTTAACGTTCGATACACGAAGTCGGTCATCAAGTCCCGGGAGGCATTCAGCTACGAACAAGCACAGCTTAGGATAGACGATCCCTCGCAGCAAGATGACCTGACGAAGGGGATGCGAATCCTCCTGAAGCTCTCGAAGCAACTCAAACAGAAGAGGATGGACGCTGGTGCTCTTAGCCTGTCTTCTCCTGAGGTCAGAGTCGAGATGGAGTCGGAGACCTCTGACCCCATCGACGTCAAGACGAAGCAGCTTCTCGACACCAACTCCCTAGTCGAAGAATTCATGCTTTTCGCCAACGTCAGCGTCGCGCGAAAGATCTACGAAGCCTTCCCCCAAACGGCCATCCTCCGCCGCCACGCGCCCCCGCCCAAGACCAACTTCGACGAGCTCGCCAACCAGCTCAAAGTGAAGAAGGGTCTCGAACTCCGCACGGACTCCAGCAAAGCCCTCGCCGACTCCCTCGACACGTGTGTGGACCCGCAGAACCCCTTCTTCAACACGCTCATCCGCATCATGGCCACGCGGTGCATGATGAGCGCCGAGTACTTCTGCTCCGGCACGCAGGCCTACCCCGAGTTCCGCCACTACGGCCTCGCTAGCGAGATCTACACGCACTTCACGTCGCCGATTCGTCGATATGCCGACCTCATGGCCCATCGCCAGCTCGCGGCGGCCATCGGCTACGAGGCCATTCACCCCACTGTGCGCTCCCGGGGTCGTCTCGAGGCCGTCTGTAAGAACATCAACGTGCGTCACCGTAACGCGCAGCAGGCGGGCCGCGCCAGCATAGCGTACTACGTCGGCCAGGCCCTCAAGGGTAAGGTAGCCGCTGGAGAGGACGCGTACGTCATGAAGGTGTTTAGTAACGGCTTCGTCGTGCTCGTGCCGAGATTTGGTATCGAGGGTTTGATTCGGTTGAGGGATCTGGCGACGCCTGAGCCTGAGAGCGAGTTTGATGCGGAGAATTATGTGTTGAGGACAAGTGGGAGCCGGGAGGTTCGCGTGGAGCTGTTCCAGAGGGTTAAGGTGTTGGTCAGGGATGAGAAGGATGAGTTGACGGGGAAGAGGGGTGTCAAGATGGAGTTGGTTGATTAAGAGGGAAGCGCTGTTTAACCAGGCCGGGCGCGGTGCGTTCGTTTGTAGTTTAGATAGTGGTGGGAATTAAAAATAGGAGTCTGTACCTAAAAAAGAACTCGGGACCAAGGAAATACAAGTTTTGTGTGTGTGGACAAGCGTGGTGATTCTTATGAGAGTTTTAGCGTGAGATTTTCTTTCCATAGAGACGAGCAGGTACAGCCTGATGGATGGAAATCCAGGGCGCTATTCACAAGACTTTACGATAGTTCTGTGGGAACCAAAGAAAGAAATACGTTTTCATTAAGATCAAATACCCGTTCCCTGGTTTCCTTGACGCCAGTAAATCTCTAACTATCATGATACGAAACAACACAACACCCACAAGAGCAGCAGAACTGGACATGAACCATATAGCCAACCCCAACCAGTCTTCTTTTTTTTATCCCCCCACAACACTCATTGTTCCATCGTCTCATCACCCCCGGCATTGTCACCCCAAAGGCCATCCAGCTTAAACTCCTCAGCCCACTCCGTAACGATAACCTTCTCATCAGCAGTCACCTCTGTGGGAGCGCCGGACTCCATGCCCTGCAGAGTGCCGGCCTCGGCGACTGCCGCTACCGGAGGCTTCGTCCAACCCTGGATCCTGCCGTCCCTCCAATCGGTGACGACAGTCATGGCAGCAGCGCTAAGGTTGGGAACGCCGCCCTTTCCGAGCCTTCCTCGCTTACGAGCGACCTGCACGAGGAAATCGGTCGTGGGGTCGCCTTTCTCGTCGCGCATGAGGGGAGGCAGATCGTATGCCTCCATCAACTTCTTGACGAACTCGGGCTGAGCGGATAGGCGGCGAAGGAGGAGGGTGACGGCAGGAATTGGGTCTTCGATCTGCTTTGGGGGGACAACGTTGAGGAGGACGAGGTGGGCGTGCTTATCCGTGGGAGTCTTGAGGGGCACGGCACCGCCAGATGATTGGAGGGAGCTAGAGGGGAAAATGACACCGGGTGAGTCGAGAAGGGTGAGCTTGTTGTCGATCTTGACGGCGCGGATGGAAGTCGTAACGCCCGCTTCGGCACCGGCCGGGCAGGCCCTCGACGAATTGGCACCTCGTCCACCGCTCAACCTCGCGAGGAGGGCATTGATGACGGATGATTTGCCGACGTTGGGGTAGCCGATAACTCCTACAGAAACGGCGCGCTTCAGGTTCTTGGAGGCAGCGTAGGCCTTGAGAGCCCTGAAGAGTGTCGCCGATGTGCTCTGTATCGTCAAGTCCTTGTGGTCGAATGTGTGGGCGTTGGGAGACGGCCTGGACGCTCGAATGGGCAGGGTGGGGAAGTACCGGCGAAGGTATGCGAGCCAGGCCTTGAGGACATCGGAGGGAATGAGGTCGATCTTGTTGAGGAGTAGGATCAAGCGCTTGCCGCCGCTCGCCGCAGCCATGATACTCCTCTCGATCTCCCGAGATCTGGTGCCCTCGGGATCCCTGGCGTCGAGGACGTATAGCACGACATCGGCCTGCTCGACAACCTGCCTGTATACCTTCTCGAAAGCCTTTTTCGACGAAGCTTGGCCGACGGGAATCTCGTTCTGGCCGCGGAAACCGCCGTCCTCGGAGTCATCGTCGGAGTAATCCTCATCCATGTCCTCGTCTCCGCTCTGGAGCTCTCTCTCGTATTTTTCCGCCGCGGCACGAGCGCTGGCCAGGAGGGCAGCCATGGGGTTCGACTCGTCAACGGCACCGTCGTCCACTTCCATGTTGGTATCGTCGAAGTCGTCGCCTTCCAAATCCTCACCGTCAGAATCCGCCATTTCATTGCCAGCCTCTTCCGTAACGCCCGTCTTCGCAGCCTTGGCCATCTCCTTCCGCCTTGCGGCATCCTCCTGCTTCTGGAGCCGCTTCTCCTCAATCTCTTGCAGAATCTTCTCCTTGTAGGGGAACATGTTGGGGATGCCGGGGTCCTTCTTTATCTTGGAGCGCCATTCCGGGTTCTTCTTGGCCAGCTTACGGTCTTTTCGCTGCTTCGCGGCGGACTTCTTCTCGATCTTGTGGCGTAGGCGCGAGGTCCCGCGCTTCGACTTGGGTTCTGCAGAGGCGTGGCAGTTAGCGGTGTGGACTCGATTACCTCTTTGGTGCAGATGTGCAGATACTGCAATGCTTCCAAAAGGAGCTTCGCGATTCCCAGTCACAATATTCAATGGACATACTCTTTGGCTTATTTATTGATCCCGCCATTGTTTACGGTCAAGACTGGGTGCCGTCCTTGGTTGCTGGAGAAGTAGTGGCCAGGAGGCTGAGTTGGGTTTCTCGTCTCTCGTCAACAGCGACCTGCACGTCTCAAAAAAGTCGGACACCAAAGATTGCAGTCCAAGAAAAAAATTGGTGGGGAGTTTTTCTGCCCGATTCCACCGCCCGAGCCCCACCATAATTTTTGGTTACTCGGCATTACCATGGAAATTCTGAATCTCGCTCCCATACGAAGTAACACGACTTCCGACTTTTTGACAGATGCAAAGTACAGAGTACAGTAGACTTCGCATAAGACAGCTGCTGCGATCCGGGCTGCTACAACATGCACCTGTACATTGATATAGACGGCATTTCCAAAATGGACCAGTCAATGTCTCCAACTCTTGCCATACGCTCTCCGTTCGTCCTCCGACAAGATGACTAATACACACAATCCCACTCTCTGCAAGTCTGCAAAATGCTCTGTGATAAGTGATAATGCAATCCCACCAAAAACCACCGAGCTTCGGCACTCTAGAAGCGGTCCATACACATCCAAGTTCATACTTCGTACCCAATGGGGCGGTGACAGTGGCGGGCTTGCCCAAACGGGTATAGACGGTCTTCCTCTTCTCGGCCAAACTCCGACTCGTCGCCCATCGTGAATGCACGTCAACACCGCCCACGCCCTTCAAATCTGACAGGACTAAAAGAATAAATGCCCCGGATTAGTAGCATTGGAAGAAACCGGATTCCTAGCTTGCTTCGTTGGCTTGCTTCGTAGAAACTCTGATATTCTCCCCGTGTGTGTCTGTTCTGTTCATTCCAACGAGAACTCTATCCCGCATCTTTCCAGAGCATAACCAAAAGGGTCAAAAAAGGAGAACCAACAATGTCATATTCTGGCGCTCCCGTCCAGGAGTTCTTCCACGGACTCCTGTTTGACATGGATGGCACTATTATCGACTCAACTCCCGCCGTAGTCAAGCATTGGCACACGTGAGGATATTGAAACTCTCCGCTGGGTATTGACGTCTCAATACCAGGGCCACTCACAGCTAACATTCGTATTTCGTGAGCTAGCATCGGAAAGGAGATCGGTGTAGCCCCCGACGTGATTCTAGAGACTTCTCACGGCCGTCGCAGTATTGACGTGCTCAAGGTTCTTGCTCCTGAAAAGGCGAATTGGGACTGTCAGTATTTCACCGCCGTGTTCTCGTGCTCCCACCCCCGGAGAACCCAACATCCGCAATGTGTCGTCAACGCTGACCTTTTCGTTTCAGATGTGTGCGAAATGGAAGCCACCCTTCCCAGGCTCTACGGTGGAGACGCCACCGAGATCCCCGGAGCAAGATCCCTTCTAGACCCCCTCATCAAGGCCAAGACAAACTGGGCCATCGTCACCTCCGGTACCCTCCCTCTCGTCACCGGCTGGCTCGGTGTCCTCTCGCTCCCACGGCCAGAAGTTCTCGTAACCGCCGAGTCCGTCCAGGATGGCAAGCCCGATCCCACATGTTATCTCCTGGGTCGCCAACGGGCCGGCCTCCACGAGCCTGAGAAGAGGATTCTCGTTTTGGAGGATAGTCCTGCCGGTATCAGGGCTGGGAAGGCTGCTGGCTGCAAGGTCATCGGGCTTGTGACGAGTCATACCGTTGAGCAGGTCGTCGCGGCAGAGCCGGATTGGATTGTCAAGGACTTGGAATCGGTGAGGTTTGTTCAGTCTGAGGGTGGTGGTGTTACTCTGGAGTTCACAAACCTGTGGACCTCTGCCGTTTAGATTTTTGTGTTTCGTTTGGCGTCCATGTCCTTGTGGCAATGAATGCGAGGGTGTCACCTTAGATCACCAGGTAATAGAGATATAGACCGTTTTCTGTCTGCTCAAGCATGATCGGGGTTTTTCAAAATGGAAGAACATACAGCCTCTTCACAGAGCCCGGTTGCAGAATTGAGCTCTCATCTCTATCGGTGGACTGTCCTAGATACCCGCTCTTTATCCCCCTAAAGGCTATATCCAGGTCAAATACTCTCGGTCGAATGAACTCGGACAATCCTCTGAACAAGCAAGGCTGTCTCGTGCGTACCATCCGTCGAAGAGGCGACCTACTTGAGACACGACGGCAAGGGTGCGAGCTCTGAGAAAGATGCGGTAACCCTGAGGACTTCCTTCACTTGTGGCTCGCAGTCACCAAGCAATCGATAAGGCAGGGATGCTGAATATGGGTCTATTTCCTCACGGTTCAGAATTTGGTCCAAGGTATAGGGATTGTAGAAACTGGGTAAGGCTACTTCTGGGATACAGTCAAGAGTAGTCTTGTTTTGGGTGATATCTCCTCGCGTAGGTTGCGAAGGGCAGTAACTATACGCATGCATCCTTTGGAATTCTCGAGAAAGGCGAGGGCTCCTGAGCTTTCGAAGTCCGGGGACCATTCACGTTGGCATAAGGAGAGATACTTCGCTCTCTAAGGATCCGACTAATGAGTAAGACTCTGTCGGCCCCTATCTGAGGGTTCAGCCAACTCCTAGCGGTGAACGCCAGGTGGAGAAAATAAGGGCAGAGACGTGAACGAAAAAGTAGCAAGTGTCCCTGAATCGAATCACGCCTCTCTCCCCCCTCTCTCCCCCTCTCTCCCTCTCTCTCAGGGGGTCATCATTCCCGTCTCGAATGTTGTACCCTTCTAAGAAGGGTGCCTCCCGGCTCGAGTTCGAGGTTGATTTAGATATTCTACATGGCACCATATCTTGGGGCGGTGATGGCCGGAGGGGGGTCATCTAGTCGCCCCTGCGACCTTAAGATCCATGGGCATATTCGAGACGATAGGCCGGTCATGTTTGAGGTCTACCATCTCAAGACTCAACTAAACTTCATAGAATGCCTACCCCCCCCCCCTTTTGCTCTCGACGTGGCCTGTCATGAAACAGCCCATCGAGGGGCCTACAGCATCATGATTAAGGAGCAAGTCTTTCTAGCCTACGCTGCGCCCTTCTCACTGAGCCTCGATGGCGTGCCCCTGGCAAATACGTCTAGGAACAGGTCTACGAAGGAGCCATAACCCGGAACATGCCCAAAGCAGTAATATCATTCGGAAACGTACACACAAACACCGGGCCTAGCATCGAATCTTCCTCGGTTTCTTCCAAAGGGTGGATGCGAGTCTCAGTGTTCTCCCCATTGCCACAACCCCTGCCGCGACAATTAAACACCACGGCGCAGTAGAGACGAAAGACACAGGGGAAGGAGTGAGACAACATGCATCCCTTCCTACGCGTTGTAGTACGCATAGACACGGATGAAGCTACTATTACCCCTAGGGAGGTGGCAAAGGAGGCTGACTGAACCTCCTGCATAGGTAACCGGTAGTTCTGCAAGGTCCCGACACGTAGTATTTCGGAGGGGGGCGCGGGTGTAGCGAAACGACGATGGTAACAAGCAAGTGGTTCGAGTCGCGCCAGAGGGCAGCTGGATCTCGTCTCGCGGGGGTAGGGCAAAGGAGATTACTTCGCGCTACAGCATTTACGCATCTGGACTCGTACAGAATGATCCACCAACTTGTGACACTGGGAGGACCAAGCAGAATGGCAAGATGCCCTTTTGCTTGAAGGATATCTCCAAGAAGAGTATGGCCGTACGGGCAAGCGCATGCGGGATTATTCGCGGACCTTTCGGTTCCTGATCCGAACCCTCTCTCTCCCCTTATTCATGACACTTGATACGCCTTGTAAGCAAGTTCGTCGGCCCAGAGGGACGGGAGAGGCCTTCACTCAAAGCCCAGTGACATCCACAACAGGGGAAGGGCTCCTTGTACATTCCACAGGAACGGACAAGTGTCGATGGGAACCGCCCTCGGACACGTGGAACACTGGGGGAATGCCATATCAGATGACGCCTCACTCATCATTCCCCCGATGCTGCCGTGTCACGGGCGAGCCCATCCACTCCTTTCGTTGACCAGTTGGTGACATGACTACCTCGTACACTACACCAGCATTCAACAAGCATTCCGTGACCGGCATGCGGAGCGAACTTTGATTCCACGCCTCTGCACATTCTTCAACCGGCTCCCCCGAGTGTATCAGGCTAGTATAGGACATCTTGGCAAGGAGGAGGAGGATGCAAGCTGCAATCGCCTGGAATCCAATCATAGGCCTTACCACGAGTGAGGTTTTTCAGAAGGGCAGGAGCATCACACTGCAAGGGTGTCTGCTGCTGGTCGCCCGTGCCAAGCTGGTCCAGGCCCAGATCAGAATGCCTGCTAAAAGGGGCTTCGCTCCAAAGATTGAGGACTTGGGGACCCACTGTGGAGGGACTCATGAACGCGGGATATTCCCCCCCAGTGGCAGACTTGGATGCAAAAGGTTATAAGCATCGCGGTGGGGTTCTTGAGTTGGCGGGTTTGAAATGGCCATCCAAGTGAAGCGATTTGCTGCACCATAAGATGGGCACATGCTTGGGAGTGTTAGATTTTTTTTTTATTTTTATTTATTTTTTATTTTTTATTTTATTTTTTTATTTTTTTATTTTTTTTTAGGCTTGCGCTGCCGTTCTCGGCGGTTCAAACATCAGGCCTACTTCGTAGGGATGATTAGATACCGGCAACAGGGCCGATGGCAGCCCGGCGAGGAAGACGCCAGGCTATCCACTGGGAGCTCTGGGTGATAACGGGGTGTTAACAGCGTCTCCGCTGGGGCGTTGGGATGCCAGACTTTGAGTTAGTGAATGGCAAACCCATTTCGCTCTCTCGGCTTCTTTTGGGGGCGGAAAAACCACCATAGAGTGGTTCCTGCACTGGCAACGTTTGAAGCCCCTACGGCATGACACTGGATTGACGGTGTTGGTCGTGGAAGAGTACAACCGCCTGCAAAGTACTTCCTACTAAGTACCGAGTTACGAAGTACTTCCTCGTGTGTGTGAGTATTTGATGGATGGATGTGCAGCGCTGCTTCCAGTCTCTGGATCGAGTCTTCCAGCCTGGAGGAAGATTATTTCCAGGGTAGGTTGGGCTAGCATTAGCTGCCCAGACAGCTGGGACAGAGTGGCCTGCCCTGCCAAACGAAGCACGAAGTACCACAATGTACCGCCTCGCAACAGGGTGCTTTGGCAGCTTTAAGTAACTACCAGGTTTAGAGGGACGAAGGACAAAGTACTCCAAAGTAATTATCTCTTCTGGGCTGGACCGCGATCCTCTGTCAAAGGTCTTGGTGTGCCGGGATTTGCTGGTTAATACAACATACCCTGCCGAGTACCTTTGGGCAAACAACATTGAACACCAATCCCTCCATCCCAGGTACTCCCGCAGACATCCAGGGCCTAGCCGCACGCTGATCTCCCGGTCCTGGATGATCAATCACTTTTGATTTTCCACCAGAGCATGGGAGAGCGTTAAAATTACGCCATGCGACCTCCCCACGTCTTTTTTTGATTGCACTCTAGCATCCGGGTGACGATGATCTGGCACGTCTAGCATCGTTGCACCGCCAGGTCAAGAGCGTCATAATAGCATCATGATTGTCAACAGGCGACAGGGGCCGGAGAGAAACCGCAATCGTTCTTCGCCAGGCTGTGTCTTGCCGTCCCTGTGCCGTAAACATATGCAGTCCCTGAACAAACCAACAGGGCGGATGGATGAGTGGTTTATTCGGGCGCGGGTTGACATGTGAGGTTTGTTTTTGACCCAGTTCGAACGAGTAATATGCTTAACAGCGGCATGTCGTCGCTCGGGAAGATGGACGGCTGTTGGTTCGCAGGGAAGCTCCCGTCGAAATTACCTTCTGTAAATTGGGATGAAAAATTCCTTTGTGCTGCTTCGCGCCCAATCTTCATTTCCACGCGCATTGCTGGCTGTGCTCCGCGCCAGCTCCTGATGCTGGCGAACTTTACTCGATTAGGGCATAAGATGAGATCTCGCGCGATGTGGAGACTGGCTCACCAGCAAGGGAGACAAAAGGAGCGCACAGGTAAAGACCGGTCGAAGCTCTCTGGCTCGTAGCGAAGTACTCAGGTGTACCTCTTCTAATTCTCTGTTCCGCGCAAGACACGTCCCCCTTCGCCTGGGGTCCCTTGTCCATGCAGGGATGCAGGGGAAAGTGGTCTCCGTGTGAAAAGAAGAAGTTTGTTTGGTTTTGGGGAAAGGGAGAAAATAATGATTGCCGACAAGGGGAAGAAGAGAGAATGGGGAAAAAAGTCGAGCTGACCTATGAAGCAGATATCTCTTGGAAGTTGTCCCGGTCTCGGATTCTCATCTCTGAGTCGTACTCCGTAGGTTGTCTAATCGTTATTAGACTCAAACCCGGGTCTCGCTAGCCCGCTCTACGATGAGCGCATGCCCTCCGAGAAGAACGTGAACGCCCACGCCCAAGAAGAAAAGGTTTAGACAGCCTGCTGGTTGGAAAAGTAACACTAGGTACACAGGTACTTGGGCATTCAGTGGAACCCTACGAGGCAGTATGGGGGTAATTACACTAGTGTACATTATTTCGATCTTGAAAAGAGCTCTGACCAGGCGGTGTTATTCGACGACTTACGCTGTACGAAGTAGGGTGGCAACCCTAGCAGAGGAAAGATCACAACTCTCCAGGCTAGCTCGAATTAACTCGCTCCTTCGTCCAAAAGGTGTTGCATCGTGTACTTCGCAGTCCACGACTAAAGGTACATGCTTGTACGAAGTCGAACGACGAACGAAGCACTGCAAAAGGGAAAAAGTACGTTGCACCCAGTGGTCAGTTAGTGTCATGGGCCCTGTCCGTCAAGCGGGCGGAGGCGCCCTTTCGCACGTGGCCAGG